AAAGGGAAAAAGCAGAACGTAGAGAAAAGAAACTGCAGGAAAAATGGGAAGAGAGAATGGATCAGTTCGAAGAGGAGTGCGTGAAACTAAAAGAAAGCATAGAAGGAAAAAACAAGAATCAAAGAGGAACAGAAGTAGGCAATAAGGAAGAATTACAGCATATGAGAGAAAAAATGGATAGAGAAAGTAGGATAAACAATATAATAGTGACAGACTTAGAGGGTGAGTTAAGATGGGAAAAGAAGGGATAGGCAGAGGTCTGGTTAAGGGAGGTACTAGAAATGAAAGGAGAGATAGTGAATCTGAGAAGAATAGGAGGGACAGCGGAGAGGGATGATCGGAGAGAAAGAAGAAGAAACATGTGGCAAATTAGATGCGCTTCATGGGAACAAAAAGAAGGAATTATGAAGAAGAAAAAGAATCTGGCACAGAAAAAGATATACATAGATCAGGACTGGACGTGGAAGCAGAGAAGGATAAGAGAGGAAGTAAGAAGGAAAGCGAAAGAAATAAAAAGTAAAGGTAAAGAGGTAAAGATGTGGCATAACGAGGTGAAGTCAGAGGAAGAAGAATGGTGGTGGAGCGAGAGAGAGGGAAAAATGGTAGGAAAGGGGGCGGAAGGGTTTCGAAAACAATAGGGATAAAAGAGAGAGAGAGAGGAGAGAAGGGAGAGAAAGGGAAGAAAGGCAATAAAAATACTATTCTGGAACGTGGCGGGGGTGAGGAGCATGGTGGAAGACGACTGGGAATATGTTAGGGAATTCGATATAATAGGGCTAACAGAAACCTGGGTGAAGAGGCAAGGGGCAAGAATTGGTGTGGAGAAACAACTGCATGAGTACAGCATAGAGAGGAGAGACTCAAGAAGGGAAGGAAGAAGGGGGAGAGAAATAGGGGGAGGAATAATGGCGGCAAGACAGAGGAAAGGGATGAGTAAGGTTGAATGGAAGAAAGACAACTAGCGAGGTAATAGTGGGAGAAATAAAGATCGGAGGGAGGGAATACATGATAGCATTGGTGTATATGTAACATAAGAAGAAGGAAAACTATGAATACCTAAGCGAAGAGATAGAGGAGAATAGAGAAAAAACAATAATTATAGGAGGAGACTTCAACGCAAGAACAGGAAACAAAGGAAGATAATGGGAGACAGAAGAAAACCTAGAAGAAATAAAGGCCAAGGATAAAGTTTTAAACGCAGAGGGAGAAGAAATGATAAAATGGCTAGGAGAAAGGGGCTTAGTGATAACGAATGGAAGAAAAGAAGGAGATGAAGAGGGAGAAATAACATGTATAGAAGCGAGAGGAATGTCAACGATAGACTATGTAGTAGGTAACGAGGAAGGTGAGGAGGCGATAGAAAGGATTCAAATAAAGGAGAGGGTAAAGTCGGGCCACTTACCAATAGAGGTGAAATTGGGAAACAAAATAGCAGAAGAAAGAAAAGAAGAGGAAGAAAAAATGATAGACGACTGGAGCGAAGAAGGTATAAGGGAGTATCAGAGATGGATAGACGCAATAGAGGGAACAGAAAAATGGAAAGATATAAAAAATAGAGTGAAGAACGCAGTTGTAAAAAAGAAGATAAGGAAAAAAAAAGGATCAAAAAAAAGCTGGTGGAGAAAAGAATGTAAGGCAAAAAGGGCTACGGTGATGGTAGAGTTAAATAAGGTAAAAAAAGGGGAAGAAGACAGAGGCAAATACCTAGAAGCAAAGAGAGAATACAGAGAGGAAATAAGAAAAGCAAAAGAAGATGAGGGGAAAAGAGTGGCAGAAGAAATAAGAAAAGATAAGACGAGAAGAAAATTCTGGGATAAAGTGAATGGCAATAGGAAGAAAAGAATTGAGTTAGATGAAAATATAGGAAAAGAAGAATGGATAAAGCATTTCAAGGAACAATTGGGAGAGAAAGAAAAGGAAGGCAGCAAAGGGGAAGAAACCGAAGACAGCGAAGGAGAGGAAGGTGAAGAAATCAAAGAAAAAGAAGTAAAAGAGGTAATAAGAAAAATGAAAAAGAAAAAGACGACAGGAGAAGATGGTATAGCAAATGAAGCATGGGTGGAAGGCACGGAAGGCCTGATAAAAGATATGACAAAATGCTTAAACGGAATATGGAACGGAGAAGGATATCCGGAAGAATGGAGGAAGGGAATAATAGTACCAATATATAAGAAAGGGAGGAAAGAAGAAGTAGAAAACTATAGAGGAATAACGCTGTTGGATACGGGATATAAAATATATGCGGAAATACTGAGGAAAAAGCTGGAAAGAGAACTAAAAGAAAGAACTAAAGAAACGCTGAGCGATACGCAGATGGGATTTAGGAAGAAAAGAGGAACAATGGACGCAATATATTTATATATTAAAAACAATAATAGGGAAGGAAATAAGGGGAAAAGGAGGAAAATTGTTCGTATTCTTTGCAGACATGAAGGCCGCTTATGATAAAATTTAGAGAAAGAAAATATGGGAAACAATGAAAGAGAAAGGGATAAATAGAAAAATTAGGAAAATAATAGAAGAAATATACAAGAAAACAGGGAGTAAGGTAAAAGTTGGAGGAGAAATAATTGGGGAATTTGAGACTTACAAAGGCGTAAGGCAAGGGTGCCCTTTGAGCACCACGCTATTTAATCTTGCCTTCGCCGACCTGGAAGTGAAGATCAAGCAGGTGCAGGAAGGAGGGGTAGTGATAGGAAGGAAGAAAATATGGACATAGGGATATGCAGATGATATAGTGATTATGGCAAAGAGTCAAAGTAGAATGAAAGCAATGCTGAAAAAATCAAAAAAATACCTGGAAGAAAGGGGATTAGAGTTAAATGTAGGAAAATCAAAGATGATGAAATGCAGGTGAGGAGGAGGAAGGGGGAAGGAAGAAGAATTCTAATGGGAAGGTGAGAAGATAGAGATGATGAAAGAGTACAACTACTTGGGATATGTGATAAGCAGAAATAACGGAAATAAAAAGCAGATAAAGAAGGTAGAAGGGAAAATAAATATGGGACTCGTAAGACTATGGGGGCTAGGAGAAAAGCTATTTAGAGAAAACTGGGAGCTAAGGATGAACCTGTTCCATGCTCTGTCGAAAAGCGTGATTATGTATGGAGTAGAAATCTGGGGATGGAAGAGATATGAGGAAATAGAGAGACTACAACTAAAATACATAAAGTGGGTATTAGGATTAGATAGAAACACGCCAAGTTACTTAATACGATGGGAAACAGGAAGACAAGAAATGAAAGAAACAGCATTAGAAAGAGCAATGAAGTATGAAAACAAAATAAGATAAGAAAGAGATGGCTCAATAGAAAAAGAAGCATAGAGAGAATTAAAGAAAAGGGAAAGAAATGAAAAAGATAAAAAGGATAAGAAGGAGGAGAGAAAGGAAAGGCTGGAAAAAAGTAAAATATACAGAGAGAGGGAAGAGGGAGATGAAATGAGGAAAGAGTTTTGGGAAGAAATAAGAGATGAACGAAAGAAATAAGATGAAAAAGAACTAGAAGAAAAACTAGAAAAATCAAGATACATAAACGAGTGGAAAGAGCTGAAAGAAGAAATGAAAAGGTATAGGTTAAAGGAAATTCAAGGAGAGGGAAGAATAAAAGGCCTGCAAATAAGGGAAAGGTTTAGGTTAGGTAATGAAACGAGAGGAAACAGGTATTGGGAAAAAGAAGAAAATAAGAGATGCAGAATGTGTATGAAAGAGGAAGAAAATTGGAAGCACATAGTAGAAAAATGTGAATAAAGCAGATAGGAAGGGGAAGAATGGGAGAAAATAATAATAGGAAGCAAAGAAAACATAGCGTGGATGATGGAGATAAAATAGATAAGAAGAAGAAACGAAGAGAAGAAAGAAAAATAATAGCAAGAAGACAAAGCTGTAAGACCCTAAGGAGTGACGGAAACAGAAGACAGAGAAGCAAGACTCGCAGACACATCTACACACACATACATACACACATACACACAAAACACGAACACACGCGCAAACATAAACATACACATGCACACACACACACAAGACATAAGTAATAGCAACTACACAAGCGAGAGGAAGCAAGTATTGGAGGATGGAGCAAAATGGAAAAGAAGAAGAATCAAAGAAGAGAAAGAAAAAGGTAAACTAGAAGACAAATCATAAGATACTAAGGAAAAATAAGTGAGGTTGAGGAAAGGAAAGGCAGAGAGAGCAATAGGAAAAAAGAAAAAGGTATCAAAGCCCTAATAAGGAGAAAGATAGATGAAATGATTAGCAAAAAGGAGAGCAAAAGCAAAGGAAAGGCAAAGGTGAAAAGGCAAAAGAAAGTAATAAAGGAAAAGCTGAAAAGAAAATATGCATGAAAGAGAAAAAAACAGAAGAGAGGAAAAGGCAGATCTTGAAGAGAAAGAGAAGAAGAGAAGATTAATCAGAAGAAAAATGTGAAGAAAAGAGGAACAGACAGGCGCAGAAACAGGGACACAAGAGTTGCAGACACACCTACAAATGCACATATTTACACAACACACACACACACGCACGCGCGCACTCACACACACACACACACACATACAAAACACATACATAATCAACTACACAAACTGGATACGAGACACAAATAGTAATATAAGAAATGAAAACCAAATGTAACATATAAGTTGTAAATAAATAAACTAACTAATATTTATATTACATTTGGCTGCAATGATCAAACTTATTGGAAAAAGCTGGCGCCGCACGTATAGGTAAAGGAACTCTTGACTGCTAAAAGCTCTGATGGACGGTCGTTAAGATTGAGTACCTTTGCGAGCAAAAAGTAACGATCATGTTCATGCAGCTAAATTGTTATTCAATAGTTGATCCTATAACTTTGTCCCTGTACTATAAGTGCGTCCCATCAAACCTAATTTACTTAATATGTTACTTACAATAAAATTTACAATAAAACATGTTTTTCGCTGTACGTACCTTTTTTGATGACAAAAATGTATTTAAATAATATAATGTTTTTTCTGTACAGGCATTATCCACGAATAATTTTCCTGACGGAACTAGCACTGAAGATGATAATTCGGAGGAAGACAGAAGTACAGAGACTAGGAAAATAAAAGTAATATTGATTAATCCGAATCAAATTCAAGCGAAGGTGATTCCTTTCGGAAACTAAAAAACATCAATTTTTACTTGTTTTTGTATAGTATTTTCTAAAATTATAATTTTTCATATAAAATACGAACAAAAAAACTTATAATTAGTCCTCATTTTGGATGAAAAACCTTGTGAGTTGTTTGTGTGAATGGTCAATCAGTTAAAACTTTACAGGGCAACGCTATGACTGTGGGCACATTTTACAATAATTTTCTTTAAAGCTTCATCATACGGGCCAAAATCAATTCTCAATTTTTGCACATTACCATGCTTACTCATGTTGAAACCAGTTTGAAAATGTTTGTCGTGTTCATCAAAATCAACGAATAAAACTTCTCGTACATGCCTGCACGCCAAAGTGGCTCCCGGACTTAAAAAATATCGGTTGTAAAGAATAGCCCTATTTTTTGACATTATTTTAAAACCCATCAAACTTTCTGTAAACAGTGTCCAGATGTGACGGTGACCCCTAAATCATTGAGGCATCATCATCAAGAATGACAAATACGTATTGATCAAAATAAGTTTATAATCCTAAAATTCCCTGTAGACGATGTCCAGATGTCAGCGTAACCTCCGCGTCGTCAAGGCATTATCAATGAGGAATATCATCAAGAATTGAAATTATCAAAAGAACAAGATATCCCCGAGCACTGCTGACCTTCAGTTCTACCCGTTGATTTTGCCCGATAATATTGCCCAATAATATCAGGGAATATTTAAAAAAAATATTGGCCAATATTATTGCCCAATATTATTGCCTAATAATATCAGGGAATAATATTTGGCGATTGTTTTCAACAGGGTTCCTCTACTAAATTAGAAAAATGGTTGACTATTACTGAATAAATTATAGAAAAAGGTAAAAATATACATCTATAGTTTGAAATCATATAGTTAAAGTCTTAAACACAATAAATTTTTCAGCTACAGTGACTATAAAATATAATATACTATAATAAAAAAAAGTTCTATCAAGAGGTGGATCACATTCCAAGCGCAAAAAATAAAATATTAAAAAAAGAACAAATTCAATACTTTTAATTAATGTTAACATTGTTCGACATGTTTCATAAGATTTGATATAATAGTCTAATGTTTTTTCTAATAATAAATGTATGGATATTAAAATAAATTGTGAAACTCAGTGAATTCATATACTAATTTTCTAATAATAATATAATATATTATCTAATAATATATTAATATATTAATTTAAATATTTCAAAAAATTTTGTTATATAAAAAATAAACAATGCTATTCAACTAATGAATTCATCTAACTGATTATTTCATGTAACAGTTAACATTAAAGATTTACTTAATTCAAAAGTTCAAATTATACAATTATTTTTTAGAAAAAAAAAGAATGAAAAAACATTTAATGCTATATATATATATATATATATATATATATATATATATATATATATATATATATATATATATATATATATATATATATATACAGTGCCGCTCACGCACTTTTACCCCCCCACGGACAAAATCAGTCTAACTTCAAAGTTTTATATCTCTGGTAGAAATTAACGTACAGAGACGCGCGTGGGTGCGTTTGAAAGGTCTTTCGGAGAGCTTTCAAATGATATGATTCACGGTTGCCATCGATTGTTTTTTTAAATTTTGCAACAATTATGCAAAATTGAAAATTCTGAAATTTTTTTATTATTTTTGACAATTAGCCAATTTTGGAAAAAAAATCGTACGAAAATTTGAAGTACACCATTTTTTAGCTATTACCAAGCCCTATCTGAATCACTCATCAAAAATTTATTTTCGTCAAATATGACGCGCGCACGGACATTTTTTCCTGGAAGTGACAGTTTTTTTCAACATTTTTTATCTCCGTCAAATTGTAACAATCGAAAAAAATTTATAGGAGAAAAAATGTTTGTTGTTTCACGTAGAATACTGCAATAATTTTTTTTTTGGTTTTTCGAAAAATTTCTTTTTTCGGTTTAAATTATTTTTCAAGGTCGAAAAAAAAAAGATTTTTTTTTTATGTAATTTACGATACTTGTTATGTAGTATTATTGAATGGGTGGAAAAAAATTTTTTTTTGTGGTTTCTCATCTTTTTAGCGTACCGACTGAGAAAAAAAAATTGAAAAAAACCGAAAAAAAAAATTTTTCGAAAAACCAAAAAAAAAATTATTGCAGTATTCTACGTGAAAAAACAAACATTTTTTCTCCTATAAATTTTTTTCGATTGTTACAATTTGATGGAAATAAAAAATGTTGAAAAAAACTGTCACTTCCAGGAAAAAATGCCCGTGCGCGCGTCATATTTGACGAAAATAAATTTTTGATGAGTGATTCAGATAGGGCTTGGTAATAGCTAAAAAATGGTGTACTTCAAATTTTCGCACTATTTTTTTTCCAAAATTGGCTAATTGTCAAAAATAATAAAAAAATTTCAGAATTTTCAATTTTGCATAATTGTTGCAAAATTTAAAAAAACAATCGATGGCAACCGTGAATCATATCATTTGAAATCTCTCCGAAAGACCTTTCAAACGCACCCACGCGCGTCTCTGTACGTTAATTTCTACCAGGGATATAAAACTTTGAAGTTAGACTGATTTTGCCCGTGGGGGGGTAAAAGTGCGTAAGCGGCACTGTATATATATACATATATACAGGGTGTTACATTTTAATCCGACCACACGCATAACCTAGCAAAGACAAACGTTATTAAAAAATGACCTCTACAAAAGTTGCAGGGAACATAGTGGGCCACCAAATGCTACTATCAACTTTGACCCTTAATACGTTTTTCAAGGTCATCTGGAGGTCAAAGTGCTTTTTTAATTGGAACCCCTATTTTTGACGACGGAATCGTGCAGAGCGGAAAAAATTACATCCAAAATGATATTTCAAGTTTGTATTTGTGACCTGAGAAGGTCAATTAAAGGTCAAATGCTCAAAAAACTGTATTTTTGTCATACCGATGTTTCTGTACAATTTAAATTAATTAATTCTCTGATTCTCCATGATGAATTTGTCCCCCATTTATTGTTGAAGTAGATAATTTTTTCAGTTAAAAATAATTTTTTATTTTGACTTTGACCCCTGCTTATTGTTACATACAGCTTAGATTTACGTAATATAGCACTACTTATTGAATAGTTAAACTAATTAAATTTCGTTTGTTTAACATTGTTTTCTTCTTAAATTTAATAGTTGCAGAAAAATTATCTCGTTTTTATTTTACTTTGTTATAATCAAAATTGTCACTATGGCTGTTTACCCAGCGGCTGAAAGGGTTGATACTCTATTGGTTCTTGGTGAATGTAGGCGTAATTATCAACAAGCTGCTGCTCTTTATCAAAATCGAAATCCCGACAGGAGAGGAAGTATCCGAGTCATACAACAATTCGGGAAATTTACCGTAGAGGTCAACAAGGGCAACTCGCACGGGTTAGAGAACGTCGTAAATACAATGAAGAAGATATTCGTGTAATAGTAGTTCTGGCAATGGTTCATTTAAATCGTTATATCAGTACCCGTGACATTCAAAGACAGACTAGTATACCAATGACTATTGTTTGGAGAATACTAAGAAATCATCGTTATCATCCATATCATATCACTTTGACTCAAGCCATCACACCTGCTGATATAAGATTACGTCTACAGTTTTGCTAATAGGCACGACAAATGATTGCCAATGATCCAAACTTTTTTCGATACGTAATGTTTTCAGACGAAGAAAACTTTCAAAGCAATGACCAGCTTAATTGACATAATTGTCATTATTGGTCGGATGTTAATCCGCATTGGCACAGGCAGATAGATAATCAAAATCGATGGAGCCTTAACGTATAGCGTAGAATTGTTAATGAATACCTTATAGGCCCGTACTTTTTCGATGGAAATACTAATATGCGTATCGTAATTTTTTATAGTTTCTGAGAGACAATCTTCCAGTAGTTCTCGAAGATGTAGATTTGTACACAAGATTAAGAATGTGGATTCAGTTAGATGGAACTCCTGCACACTACACTTGGATAACACAGGCCTGCAAAATAGAGAGTCGTCACTGTTCTTTTACAACTTACGGTCATTTCCGAAGAAATTTTTGGCGTAGAATTAGAATCCGTCGTCAGAATTGCTTCATCACGTCAGATTTTTGAGTAATCGTCCCCTAAAGATCGAAAAAACACGTTTTTTGGCCATATTCAAGGCTTGATTACATCGTGAGTTTATATTCTTTTCAAAAACGGTTGACGGCATCTTAAAGAAGCACTCTTACCCTTCAAAACCCATATTTCAAATTTAAGATATCATTTTTTTTCATCAAGATATCATCAATGGAAATTTGCCATTTTTGAGGTTTCACCATGAGCTTAAAAATTCGGCCAATTGTCCTGGAAGAATACGATATATTTCTTAGTATTTTTTGGATAATGATTCTAGAATCATTATAAACTGCATCTTAAAGAAGCACTCTTACCCTTTAAAACCCATTTTTCAAATTTAAGATATCATTTTTTTTCATCAAGATATCATCAATGGAAATTTGCCATTTTTGAGGTTTCACCATGAGCTTAAAAATTCGGCCAATTGTCCTGGAAGAATACGATATATTTCTTAGTATTTTTTGGGATAATGATTCTAGAATCATTATAAACTGCATCTTAAAGAAGCACTCTTACCCTTCAAAACCCATTTTTCAAATTTAAGATATCATTTTTTTTCATCAAGATATCATCAATGGAAATTTGCCATTTTTGAGGTTTCACCATGAGCTTAAAAATTCGGCCAATTGTCCTGGAAGAATACGATATATTTCTTAGTATTTTTTGGATAATGATTCTAGAATCATTATAAACTGCATCTTAAAGAAGCACTCTTACCCTTTAAAACCCATTTTTCAAATTTAAGATATCATTTTTTTTCATCAAGATATCATCAATGGAAATTTGCCATTTTTGAGGTTTCACCATGAGCTTAAAAATTCGGCCAATTGTCCTGGAAGAATACGATATATTTCTTAGTATTTTTTGGATAATGATTCTAGAATCATTATAAACTGCATCTTAAAGAAGCACTCTTACCCTTCAAAACCCATTTTTCAAATTTAAGATATCATTTTTTTTCATCAAGATATCATCAATGGAAATTTGCCATTTTTGAGGTTTCACCATGAGCTTAAAAATTCGGCTAATTGTCCTGGAAGAATACGATATATTTCTTAGTTTTTTTTTATAATGATTCTAGAATAATTTATAATGATTCTGGAAAGAAGACACCAAAACGAAATAATCTGACGTAAAGGCGGATACACATAGATCTATACGTGTTTAACGGAGAGGCGGTTAGCTCTGCATCGTGGGAATTTGTGCTTCAATAAATTTCCCATTTTTGTTAGATACCTCCCCCGTTACATGGCGCCAAACTGGTATTAAGACCCGTTTCGTGCGAATAGGATTGTGCGTCGAAGGTAATCGACGTACGAGAGAGAGAGATAATTGCGCGAGC